ACCCACATTTCACTAGTTTCTTTATTTTGCAATCCGCTCCCCATTGGCTCAGTAGCATGTCAGAAGGCTTATCACGCTTAAAACAGGGATTCGATATCCGTTCAGGGCACAGCACAGATGGCCTCTTGTGTAGTTTGTGCTTAAAAGAACAAAAATTGTTTTACAGTCTCTTTTCTAATCTTATTCTCATGTTTTCTGCACTAGATATCACATTCACACCTACAACTATAGTTCGTCTTCTACGTCAACACTTCCATTTGTGACGGATTTGCTATTATATATATATATATGCTTTAATATTGATATTTGTTTAAATTAAATTTATGTTTAGAAATGTACATAACTTATACTGTTAAATATGAATTGCGAAACTCCCGCCTATTCTCTAAAGTTGTAAAAGATTTTCGAGTATAAAAAGCAACAATATATGTGTGTACGTAAACGCTAGTGTTAGCGTCAGTATTGTTACGTAAAACTGAAATTTCGAGAAACTCTCCACACGCCTATAAATATAACCAACACGACGAGCCAAAAAAGAATATCTATTATTGGTTTGCTATGGTTGGTGTGCTATAAATTTTAGAAGCTATAACTGTGTTTTTTATAACGTTTATTAATCGGGAACTTCAGATAATTGACCAGAAACATTTATAAATTTTGAGCATTACAAACCATTTAACTTCAGTGGATTCACATCGGACATTAGTACTTTTACGAGAACATTACCTAACGTCATCGGTAGAAAAATTGGCGTATGATCAGTGAAGATCACAGAGTTGACTAGCTCTCCGTTAAGTGAATTGTACCTATGCCAACTCGAAATTAATTTGTGTATCGGGAACCCTCGATAAGATATCAAGGAAGTTACAGACTAGAAAAAAGACTTTGTATTGCATGTAAGTTTGTGTAACTTTTGTATATAAATCATTGTTTGTAGTAGCTGTTTGTAATAACTGATATTGTAAATTGTATTATTGTTTGTATATTAAAACATACTTAAAACAGAGAAAAGTGTGTGTATCAATATTGTTGGCAAATATCATAAATTGGATACATAATTGCATTTATTTAACTACTAAATCTAAATTACAATTTAACTCAGTTTCAGGCTTTTTGAAATTGTAATATGTAATAACATCACATCGCCAAAGATGTCTTTTTACACGCTAAACTTCTAGCTCATTTTAAGTTACCCCCTGAAGCGGGCTTACTTAGCGCTAGGTTAACAAGGTTAACAATAATGATAAATGTTTAATTGATGTTAAATATTAGTTAAGGAAACTGGCTTGTGGAGATGTTAGGGTATTGTCTACAAAAGTTGAAATTGTATTTCTTATTTTACTTGACTTTACCTTCGAGAATTCGTATTTTCCCACTTTTGCGATACGTCCCTCTATAACATTTACTATGTCATAATCACTATTAAGACGATCCCCTTTTTCGTCAAAAGCTACTCGTCCTGTTTTTCCGTAGAGTAGGCTTTGAGCTTTTAAATACCTGAGAAACATATAAAACACACACACACATATAAATATATATATATACCATTTGAGACATTGAAAACACAAAACATTTCTAGTGTGCTTTTACGAATATAAAAATAATCATAGATTCTCCTTGGTACTTGAAATATAAAAAGTATCGGTTGATAAAGCACTTTGTTAAAACTGGAATTAATATTTTGTTAATTTGAGACCAATTTCCTGTTTCATTATTACTACTAATTACAATACAGATTATTTAAACTCTTTAAAAACAACGAAGCGAAGAATGAAAATAAGCTTTTATAGATTTTTTCAAAGAATGTAAGTTTCAAGGAAAGCAGTTGAAACGTGCGATATATTTAATTATCCTATTTTTATGTATTATGTGCTACTGAGTTATAAAAACATAAGCTTCACGTTCTGTTTCAAAACAGCTTCTGTTGATTACGTTTTTTTCTCACTCCACTGTTAGAAAACGAATCTACATATGTTTAAATATAAGAGATTCACATGTAAATTTATTTAAACTTATATAAAACATTGACGTACGTCCTTACGTCATTGTTAACTCAAAGTGCGTCACTACATTTTATCCTATTGCAGTTGCAATCATTTCTTGATTCACGAGCCATGGCATGTTCATTTTTTTCATTGTATGTATTAGAAGAACATACGAGTAAAGGATGATGAGCATTTTTAACCGTGTTATTTGTATTTGATTATTTCACTAGTAATTTAAACTTCTCAACATACATACAGCCTGTAGCCAAAGTACAAACCATTCTGTAATTATTCTTTGTGACAACTACTGTTCGCATTCACTCTGAGTTTATGAGACTGTGTTTGGTTATTTCACTAGTAATTTAAACTTCTCAACATACATAGAGCCTGTAGCCAAAGTACAAAACATTCTACAATTATTCTTTTTGACAACTACTGTTCGCATTCACTCTGAGTTTATGAGACTGTGTTTGGTTAT